AAGTGTGAGGTATTGAAAGAGCATAATCACACTGACAGGTGCCTTTTGCAATTTAAGCCTTCAAAAAAACTTTTTACTAAGGCCTCATAGAATTTTATAGAGGCCAGTGCAACTTACAGTTTTGGAGATGGAATTCCCCAAATGAAGAAATTCCTAAGCTTCTTCAGAAAAGCTGAAGCATAATTTCTATGTTCATAATTAAAAATTAAAGTTGAATGCTGAATGTATTCTGCTTTCAAGCCTGTCAGAGTATCACAAGGGAAATGTGCATAACCTCATTTTGAAATAAGACTAAATTTAGGGCCTTTTATGAATATAAGATGTAGCCAACAAGTTCTCCTTCCTGTCACCTTCTCCTGTTCCTATTGAGATAAATCAAAATATAAAATTTTAGAGAAAATACATGAAAGAAAGGAATAAAGACAAATAAAAAGGAGAATAAAGAGGGGGAATTAAAAGATAATACTACAAGATGTAGATTACCTAAAATGGATTTATGAGTCAAAAATTTGATAGAAATTTAAACAATAATATTTATCAAGTTACAATTGAAGAAGACCTTGGTATTATACATGGCAGAAAACAAAAGGACCTTTTTATAACTTCTTGGCCTTAAATAGCTTAAAAATACAAAGATAAAGCAAACATGTTTGAAACAGATAATAGGGCTAAAATATATGATAGGATCCTTTAATAAAATCTGGGGGGAAAGAAGAGGTTAATGTGGTAACTAAGTTTCTTCATTTGTGCAGTAGGAAATGATAATAAAGTCAATGCGCTAGTTTTATTTCAGCATTACTAGTAAAGCATTTGGTCACATGTATCTAGTAAGATTGCTTGTTAAGTCAATAAAATGTATTACAATGATATAAAGATCCTTGATGATGCAAGGTATGGTAGTGTATGCCTGTAATTCCAGTGACTTTGGAGGCTGAGGCAGGAGACTCACAAGTTCAAAGCCAGCCTCAGCAAAAGTGAAGTGCTAAGCAACTCAATGAAACTCTGTCTTTAAATAAAATACAAAATAAGGCTGGGGGTGTGGCTCAGCAGTCAAGTGCCCCTGAGTTCAAACCTGGGTGCCCCCCCACACAAAAAAAGAACCTTGTTGAATGGGAAACCACCTACCAAAAGAAATTTCACATAAGAAATACAAATTATAGTGACTGTGGTATATTACTTAATAATTACTAAACTATCAATGAGATAAGACCTATAAAATTTTTCAAGATTATGAGTAAACTGGTCATTTTGTTGCTACTGATAAAAGCAAACAGATTCCTTGGGCTAGGAATATTGTAATACATAGCATGATTCATTTAAAAATAGTTATGGAATTTGATCATTTAATACAGGCTTAGAATCTATCTTTACAAAATATAAAAGAAAAATTGATAAGCTTTAGGAGATTTACTACAATTTTAACTATTTTAATATAAAACTAGACTCAACTTAAAAATCAAATTTAAAAAAGAAGGGTAGGGATTATTTTGTATATCATAGCCTACAAACACTGTGGAAAATCATGTGCTATTAAATATAGTGATCATATATACAAAGTTCAATTTGTAAACTATATAAAATAAAAACAGAAACCAAATATATTTGGAAGACATATCTATAATGTCTAAATTTGATAAAATATTACCATTTGGAATATAATTAATTCCCTCAAATTATCAAAAAAATAAAAGGAAGAGATTCAATAGAAAATAATCAAAGTTTATGAATAGATAATTCTCAGGATGCAGAATCTGAATGATTCTACATTTTAAAAAAATGTAGGTTTCACTGAAATAGAAACAGTGAAAAATACTAGCAACATTGAAGTTAAATCTATGGTCATGAATTTGTCAAAATTGAAAATGTGGTAATGTTGTTTGCTAATGAGATTGTGGGGAAGTAGGATCCCTTTTGCAGTGCAGAGTGAACTGTCACACTCATTCAGGAGAAAGTCTGGCAATGGCACTCGGTGAATTTCCAAGAAAGCCTACACTCTTGATTATAGTCCCCAGATAATTTCTAACAGGTTCAAAGGAGATATGTATGTGGCTGTTTCTGCAATGTTGCTTGGAATACAAGGAGTTACAGACAACTTCAATATTCATACCTGCAATATTGCATAAGTAAAATTTGGTACAAATACAGGATAAAAAATGGCAGCAACTGGAAGAAATAAAGTAATTTTAAATATAGTAACATACATAGATATGAAGAAGCACTTACACTGAATGAGAGTAGTAAGAAACCTGAGATTTATAATAGGAAAATATTTATTAACTATGGAACACATTCAAACATTTAATTGTTTCTTATTAGAATACCACACATATATCAAAATACATATGGAGTGTGGATTTATTCTACAATTAGATTGTATGTCTACAGATTACTGACTTGAGAGTTGCAGACTGAGAATAAAATAAACAGCTCTAGGGGTCTTGCTTCAAATGATGGTAACACAAGGCCACAAACTGAAGGGAGTAATCAACTCAACTCTGTGCACCTGGGATTTTCAGAAAAGGAAAACTAAAATTTATGTGACTTTAAATAATGAAAGCTGAAAGAATGCATAATGCTATGCAAACTGATTGGAATAACAATAAAATAGAACATACTGAAGTTTATGTAAATGTAAACTATAAATTAAAATTTGTATGGAAACTGATTAAGTTTGTTGTGCAAATAAGACAAATACAAAATTGTGACCACACTGATTGAAAGTACCTAAAAATGTATTCATGAGTGTTGGTTGGGGAAAGGGCCCAAGTGCCTTGGCCTCCTCTTAATATCCTCTTATATAATAAAATGCTATAAAGTTTGCTTATGAATAGCTTATGGGTAAGGATGATTTACAAAACTATCATCACAGGGCATCATCTTGTTTTGTTTTGTTTTGTTTTGTTTTTAAATTTTCTTCTGTTCTTTGCATGAGCCCAAAGGGTAGCACTGATGTGAGATGCCACCTCCCCTCTCCTACCAAGTGCCAGTGAAGGGCTGATTAGACAAATTCTTGAAGATCACATGGCAGGGGAGGTTAAGAAAGGCTATTGATATATTCATCTAGGGAGAGGCATAACTTTTTTTTTTTTTTTTTACTCTTTTATGGGTTGATAAGATTGGACTGAAGTGTAATGGGAAAGAAGAACACTCAGGTTGGATAGTCAAGTGACTCCCTCCTGTTGCCCTTTTAGAACTTGATTCACTAGGTTAGTTCCTCAAGGAAGCAAAGATTAGCCATACCTCTTGAATCATGTCTGCATTTGATCTTGTATCCTGTGCTTCTCTTGTGCACCCTGGGGAAGGTAGCTACAGGACCATTGCCAAGAAACAGTCAAGAAAAAGATTCACAGCCCTGTTTGCAAAGCCAAAGACTTGATATGGGCAGAAAACATAGTTTGTTGCTTATAATAAGAATTGTTATTTTAAGTAGTGAGATTCTGGGTGAACCCCTTCAAGTTAACTTATTTAAAATAAATAGGCACATAATTCACTAAACAAAACATTTTATTCTCTAGTGTTGGCCAGAGTGCCATTCTAGTAATGAATTGTATTATATAATTGACAAGTGTCCCCTTGTTTAGCTAATTAATACATTTATATCATGTAGAGTTAACTGTTAATAATAAACTCATGAGTACATGCCTTGTCTCCCAATTTCAGCACTTTTTATATAATTTTCTAGCTTGCATATTATCTACTTACCTACCGCAAAGCTGAATACAAAATAAGACTGTCATGAGAACTATTTCTAAATATCCAACGTATATAATATAAACAACAACTTAATTCTCATGTCAACATTTTTTTCTTCAATGTCTTTTGTTGTCATTGTATTGTGAGTTCTTATTCTCTTTTAAAATTTATCTCACCTACCCTGTGTTCATGATTTCATTTTTCCAATATTTTCTCAAATTATTTTTATTTTGATCTATAAATGTAGTTCTGATCCTTTATCCTTCAATTTTTTTCTTCTCATTGTGTTGTATTGAGATTTTTTATATATTGTGAATAAGTCCATCCATGGCCTAAACTGTCAATACAGAAATTAAGATCCTCTATCTTGTTTTTTTATTATTTTAAAAAGATTGTAGTCCCAGGAAGATAAGAAACATTTCATTTATGTATTCTGTGCAACAATTATAAAAATATAGAAGTAGCACCTTCCTTTGAAAACCATAATTATGTTAAAAACAATGCTGTTTATAGTCATGGAAGAGGAGATAATTTTATTCTAGTCTGGTACCATAGGGTCTTCCTTCCCAAACAATAAGAGTGACACAAGTTGGGGATATAGGAAACTAGTATAGTTATATAATAGTGAGTTGAAGAGCTCCTATTACCTTATTTTCTTTCCTCCATCTGCAATTTTGGCTTTTTGAAGATAACCTTCTTTTTCAACCATCTGCAAGAAGAATGCATACATTAAAACTTAGACAAACTCCTATTCATTTTTAGTTTGAATGAACTTATGCTTTCGAAGAGTCATTGCAGTGATGGAAATTTCCAGTCACAGCACTTTATTAATAATGCATATATAGCTTATGGGAAGTACCTGCAAGATCACAGTCATTACAAGCTGTTAAATATCCAAAAGATAAATTATGAAGAGGGATGTGAATGATTTGTTAGATAGTGATACACCTTTGCTCACTTTTCTTTCTGTGCAATGAAATCACTTGCTTTAAAAAAAAATGGGCTCCAAGTGTAAAACAAAGACAAATGTAATGTCTTTCTTAATTTTACCAACCATTCTTAGAAAAGCTCTTCCTTTTCATGTTCCCCATATTCCTGCTGAAGCCAGGGCAAAAGAAGAATTCAATAGAATCTAGTAACTGAGTCAGCTGAATCATGAAAAGTCATTAAAAATAGCAACATAGCATGCATTTAGGTCCCTTGGAGACTTTGTAGTAATAGTGTCTCATTGTCTCCTTCCATGATGCATAGTTGCCTTCCTTTTCCTACCTGTGTATATGCACTTCAACTGATAGATAATACAGCTGCAAGCTTCTGAAAAAAAGACTCGGCTATTTATTATGCCACAGGTGTGTTTGTGAAGTTCTAGGGTGTGTTTTAATCTCTTGGCACTCTATCCTTCTCTGCCTGCCTCATGCTCCACTGAAGATCCTTAGCCTATCATACTCTCTCCTCAGGCTGTATGCAAAATGCTGTAAAAAATCACCTAATAGTAGAGGATCATACTCCCTCAGTGCCACCCCTGTGCATATACACCCTGTTTCTAGCTCAGGCACTCCTAAGTACACAAAATTGACTTTAACAATCAATTCATATGGCATTTATTAGAGGGTCTTTCCATGATTCATCTGTAATCTCTTTTAGGTATTCCTGTTCTGACCCTCCATTTTCACTCTGCATTTATCCCAAGGATAGCATTTGTCAGATCACACTGTAACTGTCTGCTTAATCTCTGTGCCTCTGTCTTGTTTGAGTCACTGAAGGCCAAGGGCTGAACCTTTCACACCTGGATTCCCAGCTCCTACAGTACTTGCTGGCATGATAGTCACAAGGATAAGTTCTACTTCAACAAAGCAACAAATGAATGAATGTACATTTAAATGTTTATTCAAATAGTTATGGGAGACTAGACAAACCAAAACAATTCATATGCAATGACAGATTAGAAGAAAATATATTTGGAGGTAAATGAGTTGTCCCAAACCACTAAAATCTCAGAATTGCCTGTTTATAAGACACACTCTGATATGCATGAGAACTTTCCTGACTTGTTTATCATTAGGTTCCAAATATATATATTGCACAGTACTTAGCTTTTAAATATATATCTGGTGGATAACTTTTAGATTGACTAAATTATGATGATGATGATAATGAATTTGATGATCATAACAAAGCATTTTTCATGCATCTACAAATTTTCTTTTACTTCAGTATCTTTTTTCCACAAGTCTAAAAGAGTCTAGGAAAGCTTTCTTAGATCATTTTTAGAACTATGGTGCTCAATGGTGTCACTTTTTTTAATGTGTCTGGATATATGCACTCATTTGCTTTGCCCACCTCTTATTCTATGTATACTTTCTCTTTTTCTTGGTGCCATGGAATTTTGCCTACCCTCTAAAGACCATATAATAAGTTCAGTGCTTAACTCTGGGCAACACTGGCTTCTATAAATGTTTGGAAGAAAGATGCTTTCAGTAGCAATTAGCATCACAGAGGAGGTTCCTTTCTTTAGGAAAGTATACTGAAAAAATTTGTTGTGTAACCTTATTTATTGTTTTAGTGAAAATTTCTTCTAATGAAAATAAAATAGTTATCTAAATAGTGGATTTATGCAGACGGTTACAAAATCTCAACCCATTATAAAAATTGATGCATGCATTTCCAGCTAACAATGTTGCTATTATTTTTTCAAAAATATTCACCAGAAGACCCATAGGTAGACATTGTGACATTTGATATCCACAGAAATTTATTATTGATGACCATTCCTTTAAAACAAAAATGGAAATGTAAAAAGAAAAAGCTAATATTTTTACAGAAAGAAATCAACACAAAGAGGCTTGAGATATATTCTCTAAAACTCTCTTCCTTGAATACATAAGTAATATTCCATCAGACACAGATGAAAATACCTGAGACTGAAGTGGCCAACGGATTTATTTCTTATGTTAGGACTTAATAAATGTGATATCAATGACATTAATAGCTGATTCAGTTTGCATGGTCTTGGATTAATGTCATGAAGTTTTCATGAGTGACTACCCAGAGGTCTTGAGAAAATGATGAAGGAAGAGATGAATAGCAAGTTAGATATCATCTTACAAATTCAAACTACCTTCCAAATCATGAGAAGAAGCTAATAAAATTATCTACTATGTACTATAACTTACTGCATTTACTATTTTGGTGTAATTTTTTACATATCTACATGCATCTGATATACATTACTACATGCAATATATATTAATACAATTATATACATACATATATAATTATATTAATTGTATGTATATAATTAATTATATGTATATATATATATATATCTATATATAAATTTTGCATATATTATGACTCCTGGGATCAAGTGTTTATTTCTTGCCTTCTCTCCATTTTCTCTTTCATATTGGATGTACACACATTCATTCCTTAAAAAAATTTAACAACCAATAAAAATAAATAAATTAATTAATTAATTTTAAAAAATTTTCAATTAATCACATTTCCTTGTCCCAAATACTAGCCACTATGTTTATAACTGGTGTGTAAACATTTATAGGACAGTCTTACTATTATTGAGGCTTAAATTCTTGTGATCTCACATTAAGATACTCTTCTTCCTCTTATTTTGGTACTGATACCATAGTCCCTCCAGCCATCTCAATGACTCATGCCATTGTTAGCATGGATTAGAAAACTTCAATTCAGGTTTCCTTCACTGAAAATATTGCATTGTTCTAGGTCCCATACTGGCAAGCAAAGCCCCCAGGAGATGCAATTAATTATTTCACTATACCTTATCATCATACTTTGAAATACCTCCCAGTGTTCCAGGCACTAGGCACCAGGAAGTAGCTATTCTGAGAAGCTTCCAGTGAGCTAAAAGAAATATTAGGGTAAGCAAAAGCTTGTATGTAAGTCTATATTTGGAACCTTATTAATTATTATCATTATGTTCAGCCATTCTCATGATCAGAAGGGAAAATGATCTATAAATTGCAGTTGAACATGTTGATCATCTAGAATCAAATGTCTACAAAATTGTGGATAGCTTTAGATGTAAGTTTGGGATTCTATATACTAAGTCCTAGTACAATTTGAAGTTTTTTAAAGCAGAAGCACTCCCTAAACTGTGTACACTTAAGAAATGTCAACCTATCTTCAGATGCTAAATCTAGCTTTGGGAGTTATTTGTCCAATGTCCCTTAGAAGCCCTATTTAACATTACATGGCAGGAAAGATCAGCAATTTGTCCAGATTGGATGTGAGCCAGTCTGCCAGCATTGAGGAAGTGCTCAGCAGATATATCATGAGATATAGATGAGAAGAATGAATGGCAGTGGGATAGCTAGATAGCACCTGTTTATCAACTTACGTTGGAGGCAACAAATGAGGCAGGAGAAGAGACGACAACCTTTGATAAATGATAACAATCATGGCAGAAAGACCAGCCTGTAATCCTACATACAGACACTGCAATTTTTTATATAAAGTCTTCCTGTTGTGCTCATATACAATTGCAAACAATAGGTTTTCATCTATACCAGTCTATCAAAAGGGTTCTGTTAGAATATATGTTTATAAATGGAAATGAACTGAACCAGAGACTTCCACCAGATTTTCTTGAGAAGTGTTTGGCTTTTAACACCAGAACCACACAATCCTTTTTTCCTCATGACATTTGTTCTAAGTTATTGTTATCATCCCCTTTGTTCTGACTTTGTGTCAATCAGAAACCATCTGCCTCCAGATTCACCTTCTTAGGTCATTGGATGTACACAGTGGGTGACTTTAATAGTAAGTGTCATAATACCCCTCATATTTTGTGAAATTGTGTCAAAGGACCATCAGCTCTGTAAACCCTGATAATATTGACAAGTGTAATTTTCTTGGATTCACAAAGCTGTGACGGGCCCCAGCCCTAAACTGGGATGATCACTCAGAAGGGGTATTTCATCCTGTGAAACCTGCTGTATGACTCATGTTTCACTAAGATAACTTTGTCTCATTTCTCCATGACTACAATCCTGGGCCACTGTAGTTTTCAAACAGATCTGCCACTTAATTGATTTTCTATTTAATAATGAGGTGATTGAGGATCTATTAAGTTTTAATAGATCACAGTAATTTTTGGCAATCTTGTTTGTTTTGGTGACTTTTATTTAAAAATCAGAGAATGGAGATACATTTGGTTATATCATTTTGCCCCCTGTAATGGTTTGGATGTGAGGTGTCCCCAGAAGTTCATGTGTGAGACAATACGAGATGGTTTAGGAGAGAAATGATTGGGTTGTGAGAGTCTTAACACAATCAGTGAATGAATCCCCTGATAAGGATTAACTGAGTGGAAACTGAAGTGGTAAGGTGTGGCTGGAGAAGGTGGAAATAAGGGAGTTGCTTTGGAGTCTATATTTGTATCTGGCACCTGGAGTTCTCTCTCTCTGTTTTCTGATCACCATGATGTGAGGTGCTTCCCTGTGCCACACAATCTGCCATGGTGTTCAGCCTCATTTATGAGGTTTCTATGGACAAAAACATGTGAAACCATGAGCCCTCAAATAAACTCTTCCTCCTCGATAATTGTGATAGTCAGGTCCTTTAATCACAGCAGCGAAATAGCTAAACAACCCCAAATGGGGTTTCTCTTTCCTTCTTAAATTTCTCTCTCTCTCCTTCTTCCCCTCCCTCTCTCCCTCCCCATTCTCCCTC